GGCGGCGCTACAGCGAGGCGGAGCGGGAGGACGACCCCAACTTCTTCAAGATGGTGGAGGGCTTCTTCGACCGCGGCGCCGGCATCGTGGAGGACCAGCTCGTGGAGGGGCTGCGCACGCGGGAGAGCCTGGAGGAGCGCCGCCACCGCGTCCGCGGCATCCTGCGCATCATCAAGCCCTGCAACCACGTGCTCAGCGTCTCCTTCCCTATCAAGCGTGACAACGGCGAGTGGGAGGTGGTCGAGGGCTACCGGGCGCAGCACAGCCAGCACCGCACCCCCTGCAAGGGAGGTGAGGTCCCGCGCATGCGCCCTTGCCCCGCGCTCCCGCCCCACGGCCCCGCCCCTGTTGGCGACCCCGCTGTTCCTTAAGCAGTATTGCCAGATAACGATCGTATTTGTGCGATCATTTTAACCCTTGTACGATCAATAAGAGTTCAAGTGTTCAAAATGTATGATAATTGTTGAGGCAGCAAATTGATACCGTTTCTGCAAAACCCAAGTTGCACTCAGGGAGTCTTAACTGACTTTTGGGTTTGCTGTTAGTGCTTGCTTCAAAGTAAAGAAATATTTCAACTTTACCCAGTCCTTACTAGCAACTTACAGGGAGCAATATAAAGTAAACAAGAAGACTGATTTGCCTGCTTATTTGTATGTTTGCACATTTTTTTTTTCAGTGTATGATAGTTTTTCAGCAAATACAATAGTTTTGACCTACCAATAGGATACTTTCATATTGAAGGCCTGGCAGTGCTGCCTCCGAGGCCTGGTGCTTCTCCCACCAGCTGCACACCCGGCAGTAAAGCAGCAGCTGAGCAGACCCGTGTACAGGCCTGTGCCTCATTCAGTAGTAAATCACTAGAAACAGATACCGTCCTATTTTTGACTGTCCCCCTCAACAGAGCCCCACTGGGAGAGGCGGATCCACTCCGGGCTGGCCAGACTGCTCAGGCAAGGCAAGGCTCAGTAACCATCTCTGTGCCACTTGCCAGGAGTTGTCCCTTCTCTGGGAAGGTAGAAAGGGAGGGAGAGTAGTTCCCCTTAGCTGAATGGGCAGCCTGCCTCCACAGCCTTCACTTGCTGTCAGCAGTTCTTCTGTCTCGTGTCACCCCAATGTTTCATTGTGAGGCATCTGGCTCCCAAAACACCGTGCTCTTTTTGGGGTGAAGGTGCCTTTTCTGAGCCGGAGCAAATGGTGGAAAGTTCAGAAGTCACCCAGAGAAGGGCTCAGCCCTGTTTCCAGCTTTAAGGAGTCTGGAACCTCAGCTACAAAAAAAATGAGTGTAGTTCTGAAGTGAGAAGTAGGGGGAGAGGTGATTTTAACCCCTTTTGGGTGTTCGTAATTCACACTGTCTGATCTTTGCACAAAACATCCTCGTGCAAAACTGGGGGGAAAAAAAAAAAGGGGGGGACAGGTTAGTTTGGCAAGGTTTCAGATGGATGTATTGAAAGGGCCAAAAACAAATGGTCTTCTAAGATAAAGCTGACTTGGTATGTGTCCAGCCAGCTACATGCCCCCCTCCACCACCATCCCACAAGGTTCAGTGCATTTAGTTATGCCTCCTTTGAAAGAAGTGAGAGATTAATCTTAGCTGGTTAAGAAGGTTATGTTCCTTAATGCTATCCTAGACTTGGCCAGGATTGTATCTCCTTGAAAGACGGAGTTAAAATGCATCAGGCCTGGATCATATCATAGTCTGTACTGCATAATTTTTTTTTTTAATTGTGTTAAAAAGTTTGAGACCATTTCAGGAGGATGTATGATCTTAGATTGAAGGGACTAGTAGTGAAATAGGCAAAAAAAAAAAAAAGAGTCATTATTGACTTCAAGATGAACATGAGCCGTCAGTGCCAGACAGCAGCCAGCAAGGCCAGCCATACCTTGTCAGCCGGTCCAGAGAGATGATATTCCCCCTCTATGCAACTTTGGTCAGGCCGCAGTTGGAGTACTGTGTCCAGTACTGGGCACTGCACTTCAAAAGTGATGTGGCCAGCCTGGAGAGGGTTCAGAGGAGGGCCACCCGCTTGGTGAGAGGGCAGGACTGGGAGAAGAGACTGAGGGACCTGAACCTGTTCAGCCTCAGCAAGAGGAAGCTGAGGGGTTCCCTGGTGGCTGCCTACAAGCTCATCAGGGGAGATCAACAGCAAATAGGTAGAGGCCTTTTCTCCCCAGCACCACCTGGGGTGACAAGGAACAATGGTAATAAGCTGATGGAAAATAGGTTTAGGTTAGAGATCAGAAGGCAATATTTTACAGTTAGGGTGGCCAAAATCTGGAACCAACTTCCCAGGGAAGTGGTCCTCGCCCCTACCTTGGGCAAATTCAAGAGGAGGTTGGAGGTTCGTGTGTCTGGGGTCTTGTGAACCCAGCATTCATTCCTGCCTGTGGCAGGGGGTCAAGCTAGATGATCTGTTCAGGTCCCTCCTGACCCTAGCTACTATGAAACTGTGTATAACAGGTCGCCCTTCCCAGCGCCATCTTCTAGTACTCCGCACCTTGCGTGGGGCACCCTTGGATCCTTCTTTGGGGTTCTTATGTCCCACCCTATACTGGCCTGCCACATCTTGATGGAAATTATGATGATGTTCTTGCGAGCGGGAGGCTGCTTATTGTATTGGGTATGTTGGGCCCTTTCCCCTATGTGGGACTGATCCCTGATTTTCTCTAGCTAGGCCTCCCCTTCTAAACCCACTAAACAGGGTTTGACTCAGAGGCTCTAGCCTTTTCTGTTGTCTTGAGGCCTGTGGCCCCTTTTCCTGCTCTAATTTGGAGCCTGGCCCAAAGGCTCAGGTGCCAGCCCCGCAGCTGGAGGGCCACAAGCCCAAAACCAGGGGATGACCCAAAGCCCGCAGCCTCCCAGGCCACAAAAAAAGCCACTACCAACACAAAGCTGCACCACAGGTGCACCAGAGCTCCCCAGCTTCTTTAAGATCATGCCTTGCTGGCACTGGGGTCTGCCCCCTCTCTGGGGCTTCTCGCTGCCCCCCTCTTTGGGGCTGGGGTTCCCACTCTGCCAAGGGTCCCCTATGAGGCCTTCTCCAACCCTAATAGCTTCACCCAAACCTCCGGTCTAACAGCAAACAATACACCAGCCCCAAGGCTATAACATAACTACAAACCGTCTGGCTAAAATCTCATTCAAACCCCCCAGGGTTGCTCCATCCCTCACCAGTCTCCAGAGCTGCTTGTGTAGTTCTGGCGTCTTCCCTTCACTCGCTCCAACTGAGCTCCTTCCCCCTTGGCTGCCAGCAGGGAACTTCTTCCCTGGCTTCAGTCCTGGGGTTTAAATGGGAGCCAGGCCCTGCCCCTTCCTGTCAGCTGACTGGTAGCAGGGGTGGGTCACTGGCTCCCCCTGGGCGCCCCAGCGACCACCCCTCCCTCAGGTTACCCTAGCAACCAGCACCTGAGTAGCTATTCTGGCTCTACAAGTAGCAGGCACCTTAGTGCCCTGATACACTATGATAGTTGAAGTCTTCCGGTGATTTATGTAATAATGTATCATGAATATAATGATTTTTTTTTACTATAAAATGGTAGGCAGTGCTGTCTAGAATAGATAATGACATTGCATCCACTACTATAGTATTGAAAGACTAGTAAAGTACTCAGCAGCTATGTTGATTTCTTCATTTAGTACTCTGAACTATGTTGGTTTTTTCATTGCTTTTTTCCTTTTTTTTATTTCATGTTTCAAAGGCAAAAATTGTATTCATGTTTTTCCTCAAGGAGGGAGGTTCCTGCTAGTGTCACTGCATTTTCTTTAGCTGTCATTGCCAAATGTCATAGAACAGGAGTTGGCAACCCCTGGCATGTGTGACACATGAAGACATTTTGCCTGGCACATGTGCCTTGGTGGATGGCAGAGGACGGGCAGAGGATGCCCTGCCACAAGAAGGATTGGGCCCCTCACAGACTCTGGCACAGCAGCCCAGCTGCCTGCCAGTCAGCCCAGGCTCTGAAGAGGCCCCTGCTGCCTGCCACAGAACTTGGGCTGCTTGCAGTGGGCGGGCAGCAGGTGGGCTGCAAGCAGCTGCACCAGGGTCCGTGGAGCCCCAGCCTGCCTCATGGCAGGCAGTGGGTGCGCACACACCTCTCAGTGGATGGTAGGGAATGGGCTGGGCCTGCATGGCCACAACCAGAATTGGGCTCCTCCTGGTTCCCCTGCAGTCTGCCTTGCTATGCTAAAGTCTTATAAATTGAGGTTGTGGGTGTTTTTGGCACTCGTCCCCAAAAAGTTGCCAGTCCCTGCCATAGAGCCTTCAGGCTCCAGCATTTAATTCCTTTTCAGCAAAGAGGCCCTGCTTTTGAGTATTCATGGCAAGAGATGGGTTTGTGGGAGAAGGCGAGAGAGGAATAGTGCATGAGTAGTAAAACTATATTTTACTTATGTTGTATAGGATATATCATCTTTGATCTAGGTAGAGTACTGATCATTAATAATCCAGCAGCTATTGAGACCAAATAGACAACACATGCTTGTTAGGAAGTGTCAGTTTATTGTAAACTTCAAGTTTTCAGATGCTTTCAAACAGTTTGTTTAGATGAGACTATCCCAGCTGCAGGGAAGGTGCTCTTGTTTAGCACTTGTGGGTGTATCAGCCTTTGAGCTTCTGCCTAATAGCTGTATTCAACTTTAAGCATCATTATTTTTTACTGATATGAAGGCGAAGGATTTTTTTTGTTTCCTCCTTTCTCTCTTGGCTCCTGAGAGAGAGAAAGGAAGAGATTATTGGTACTGTGGTTTTTTACCAAAACTAATTTACTTCTGTGAGGCAGATTTCCATTCATAATTTTGAGTCATCCTCCTCAAGACTGTTGATCATGTGCTGGTGTTACTGCTTTTGGCTTCTAAAAAAGCATCAGTGTAATAAAATGGGTATAAGTTGCACGGAGCTGTCTGGAGTCTTAGAAAGATGCCATACTGCATTGTATAATATTTGGAAAGCTATTCTCCAAATTTAAACTTACGTTCTGCTGAAACTGGTGGTTTGGGCCCATCAGCTCTCCATTTTATATCCAAACAGATTCTTCAAAATTTGCATATATGGTAACTATTACACACTTTTTCAGCTGCTTATACTTGAGTGGAGGGGAAAGCACTAGCTAAAGTATATGAAAGCAGGGCTCAGTTTTGTATCATAAATTATCCATCACACGGGGAAAATTGCTAGCTATGGTCACCTCTCACTGAGGAGTGTGGAAAATGGTCTGTGCAGAAATGACTACCATCTCTGCCATACAAATTGTTTCAAGGAGATAACTGGCACATGGAGTTTTTGGGGAGGCTTTTG